AGAAAGAATATATGAAACAATTCCATTTACAATAGCCTCAAAAAAAAAAAAAAATCAAATACCTCTACAAGGAGAACTACAAACCCCTGAAGAAAGAGATTGAGGAAGACTACAGAAGATGGAAAGATTTCCTGTGTTCATGGATCAGTAGAATCAACATAGTAAAAATGGCTATACTACCAAAATCAACCTACATGTTTAATGCAACTCCCATCAAAATCCCCATGATATTCTATACAGAGATTGAAAAATCTACCTTAAACTTCTTTTGGAAATAACAGAGACTGCAAATAGCCAAGGCAATATTCAGCAAAAAGAGCAATGCTAGAGGTATCACAATATCCAATCAAACTATATTACAAAGCAATAGCAATAAAAACAGCACAGTACAGGCACAAAAACAGATATGAAGACCAGTGGAACAGAACAAAGTTCCCAGATATGAATCCACACAGCTATCCCCACCTTATTTTTGACAAAGGAGCCAAAGACATATGATGGAGAAAAGACAGCCACTTCAACAAATGTTGCTAGGAAAAGTGGTTATCTGCCTGCAAATAGATCCATGTTTATCACCTATACTAGTATCAACTCAAAATGGATCAAGGACCTTAATATCAGACCCGAAACTCTGAAGTTAGTACAGGAAAGAGCAGGGAATACTCTGGAAGCAATAGGTATAGGCAAAGATTTCCTCAATAGAACCCCAGAAGCCCAGCAACTAAGAGAAATATGGACAAATGGGACTTCATAAAATTAAAAAGCTTCTGCACAACAAAAGAAATGGTCTCTAAACTGAAGAGACCACCCACAGAGTGGGGGAAAATATTTGCCAGCTATACATCAGACAAAGAACTGATAACCAGAATATATAAGGAGCTCAAAAACTAAGCTTTCCCAAAATCAATGAACCAATAACGAAAAGGGCAACTGAACTTTCTCAAAAGAAGAAATTCAAATGGCAAAAAAAAACGCATGAAAAAATGCTCACCATTTCTAGCCATAAAGGAAATGCAAATCAAAACCACACTGATTCCACCTCCTCCCTGTTAGAATAGCCATCATCAAAAACACCACTGCCAACAAATGTTGGTGAGGATGTGGGAAAAAAGTAACCCTCATACACTGTGGGTAGGAATGCAAGCTAGTGTAACCACTCTGGAAAATAATATGGAAGCTTTTAAAAAACTAAATATAGATCTGCCATATGATCCAGCAACCCCACTCCTAGAGACATACCCAAGGAATGCAGCTCAAGAAACAGCCAAGATGCCCCACTACTGATGAATGAATTAAGAAAATGTGGTACTTATACAATGGAATTTTACTTAGCCATGAAGAAGAATGAAATCTTATCATTCGCAAGTAAATGGATGGAACTGGACAACGTCATTCTGAGCAAGGTTAGCCAGGCTCAGAAGGCCAAAAATTGTATGTTCTCCCTCACATGCAGACTTTAGATCTAGGGCAAATGCAGCAATGTTGTTGGACTTGGGTCACACGCTAAGGGGAGAGTACATACTGGGGGAATGGGGATAGGCAGGAAACCCAAAACATGAAAGTGTTTGATTTCCCCACTGCAGAGAAGCTAATACAGAAACCTTAAAGTGACAGAGGTCAATACGGGAAGGTGATTAGAAACTAGTGTAAAGGTCAGGTAGAGATGAGTCAGTTTGGATTGTAACACACTTGTGCATGGAAGCAGTGCTAGGAATCTCTCTGTATAGCTATCCTTATCTCAACTAGCAAAAAGCTGTCATTCTTATTGTTGCTTATGTCTTCTCTTCAACAATATTGGAGAAAAGGCCAGAACAGGTCCTGCCTGGAAGCAAGGGGGGGTGGGGGTGAGAGGGAAAGGATGGGGGGGTTGGGGTAGAAATGACCCAAACAATGTATGCATATATGAATATATAGAAAAAAAGAATAATAAAAAAAAGAACTTGTGTAAATGTCACAGTGTCCCCTCAGTACAACAATAAAAGAAAAAGAAAGGATCAAAATTTCATATTGGCAGCTTTGCTAGTAGTATTATATTAATAGTGTGTGTTTTACTATTCTTTGTGTTGGATACAAAATATATTTAAGAAGAAGAATTTGGTAGAGAATCTTTGACAAACATGATTACATCATTTAAGTAACCAAGGCACCAAGGGAAAAAAGAAAGATCCATATAGCCCTCACAAATTTGGATTATTTTTAAAGCAAACTTATTTTCATGAAAATAGTATAAGCAGGCATATAATATACAGTGCATTACAAAAATATGAAAAGATTCTTCATGATAGCTAAATGTAAAAAAAAAAATTACTTATCTTAGTGATTCTCATCCAAAATAAGTGAATTCTATTATTATCTTCACTTTATAGAAAAAGCTGAGACAGAGATTTCTAATAACCTGCTTGAGGTCATTTCACTCTTAAGTGATAGGAAGTTAATTACAAACCAGACAGTAGAAGTTTGCAGCCCAGCTCACAAACCAGTTACACAGACTCCAATAGCTCTGTGGTAGACTTTATTCATCTGATACAAAAATAAAGACAAGCAAAATGAAAGGCTTCGAATATCAGCTGAATTTCAATCAGTCCCACATATAACAGCAAACTATCCATTTGTAGGAGCCAGAATCATTTGTGATTTGATGTCCTAAGGGCAGCAGAAAACTGTAGAGCATCTCACTTACCCACAGTGGTTAAGCTCTTGAGTCAGTCAGGCATGTAAAAAGTCTAGCCCTTAGTACCACTTGTTAGCTCAACAAGCCTGCATAAACAACTAAACATGTCTGCTGCCATGAATTGCCACACATGTAAATGTGAAGATTTCCTGATAGGGCTAGTAAGATAATGAGGCAAGGAGATAATGTGGTATAATATGAGATCATCCATGTAATGCCTAGAAGGGGGCTTAAAATGTACTCATTCACACAGTTTTTCTGCACTTAGAAATGGTAGTGAGTAGATAAAAACTATGAGGTAACAATGCTTTGAAAATACATCTATATTAAAATACACATATATCATTGTAATTGTTTATAATTAGAATATAAGTATAGAATAGTTAAATATATTGAATTCTATGTAATGTACATATTTAAAAATCGAAAAGATATAAATGAAAAGCACAATGTTCTTGTAATATTAAAATACTATGCATATTCCCTATATATTTTTTGAGGAAAACTCTCATATGTAACCAAATGTAGAAAACTTCAAAGTTTGGAGTGTGGCTTGAGGATTGAAGCAGAAGATAAGGCCCTGAGTTCAAACCCTAGTACCATCAAAATTTAGAAAATTTTCATCAAAATAAAAATAACAAAAATTAGAGTGGCTTCTTATTTTTGATACATTCTAGGATATCAAACAAGAACCTCAGGAAGATGTAACAAATAAGATTTTGAAATTTCAGATTGATTCTTGGGGCACTGTTTTAGGAGTTCTTTATGAAGCATGAAAAAATAAATAGAAAGGTGATGGCCTTTTGAGTAATGATGAAAAAGATACAAAGAAACCCAAAACGCCAAAATCAACAAGGCAAGGAATGCCCCACTTCAATTCTATGAATTTCCTGTAAGTATAGGACTTTCACCTATTCTAGAAGGAAGTTAACTTCTTTGCGGCCCTCAGGATGGAAACGAGACCCTTCCATGTGTTGGATAAGGGCTCTATCTCTCACCATGCCCTAGCACTTTTTATTGTATTTGAAGCAGTCTTGGTATCTTTGCCCAGGCTGGCCTTGAACTGGTGATTCTCCTGCCTCTGCCTCCCAAGTAGCTCAGATTCCAGGTGTATTCCATCATACCTGGCTAATGTTAGGTTTCTGATGAACAGATGAGTGCTCCAGCTCAATGATTTCATAAGATTTAATGGTTAGTAGTTGCAGAAAACATGACAGTAAGACCTTTAATAAATTAATGTGATTCCCAGAGATGATTAACCATGACTAGTACACAAAAGTTTCTGAACTTTTGTTTACTCATTTGTTAGAAAATCACCTAGTCTTTGTTCAACAACAGCACAGATTGCTCTTTATGAGTTGGAAGGGTTATGTTGATACAGTGAACACAGAACCCCAGATGGGTCAATCGGAGTATTATAGTCTCATGAAAGTAATTTTGTCATTGAAAGCCATGCTATGCTAGATACACATTGTGTGTCCTTCTGAGGTATTCCATAAGTATAAGGACACTATTAATAAGTAAACATACCATGATAGCATTAAAGAAGATTTTTTATTAAAAATTAATATATGCATATGTTAGCAAGGCAAAAAGTGCAAAAACATGTCTCTTGATATAAGTTTGTATTCTACGCTAGAAAGCAGACTCATCCTTATCCTTAGAATTATTTCATTCTGTGAGACCATTAATAGAATAGGCCTAGAAATTTTCTATGAATTAGCAATATATATTTAGATGAATAGAATCATTCTGTAATATATAGAATATATGTTCATATAAACCATTATAAATACCATATTTTCATACCAGGATATCTAAATCATCCTCCCTGATTCTTAATAGCTATACACAATTCTAATGTGCAGACATATACATACTCATGTAGCTATCACGTTTCCAACAGATGGTATTCTAGTTTTTTATTGTTGCAACCTGTGAAGATTAGCAATTTCATACCTACGTACTTGAATTCACACAAGTACATTTATAGGAATAATTCCTAGATGTGGACTTACTAGAGTAAGAGTATATTTTTAAACTAGATAATCTTTATAAATGTTTGTACCAAAATGTTGTTCACTAAGATTTGTTTGGTAAGTTGAAAGAATAAAGCAGATTGCCACATAATCTGCTTAGCACACCAATATAAATGATTGAATAATTACAAATGATCTATAGTGTACCTCCCAGTCAATAAGACAGATATACAAAGTTCCAATAATCTCTTCTACTCTACCCAATATTCATTACTTATTCCAGAACAGACTTCACAAAGTATACCATATGAGATATACACATTATATAACATCTCTTTTTATGTACTCACATTGATATCTTCCAAATCTAAATTATTTAGAATAATATTGTTCCTCTTCCAGATGATGGGGGGCCTTAAGGCTCCCTGGACAGCACAGCTCAGAACAGCACTTTGTCCCACAGTTGTTGCAGTAATGCTAATTCTCTGATCTTCAGGCAGAATCAACTGGATCACTTCTGCAGAGATAAAGTGACAATGTTTTGATGAGAATGTAGTTTTGTAACGTTAATTAGTATAAAGTTTTGAATGCCAGTGATTTGGGCTTTTTATTTGAATAAAAGAGAAAAGGACTGTGATGAAATGAAGAAAGAGTTAATTGTTTCCAATAAAAGGTCAGAGTGACATTTCAATTTAATTGACTGACAAGCATCCTCACGAGGCAAAGACTATTAAACATTAAATGAGTATCAGAAGTAGAGTTATAATAAGCCTGGCAGATTGCACCCAAAAGAGAGATAATTTATTTAACTGCCAAATCAACATGTAGTGTGTCATCAGCATTCAAATAAAAATGATGTTGTTTGTTCACTGATAGATTTATACCGTAGGTGAAGTGAGATCATTGCCAGCTAGCTTCAGAGAATACTAGCACCTCTAAATGGGTAAAATGCATCATTATGCTGGAAACAATTTAACTCTAAAGAAATAAGATTTATTTGGGAAGTTGAAAGAAAAAAAAAAAACTGAAGTTCATCAACCAAATAGCAATTAATGAAATTCTTGCCAGTTGTCTCTCTCAGTGTTGTACAGTCCATCCAGTCACTTCTTTGTCCTTAAATTTCATAGCTAAATATCATGTAGTAAACTAACACACACACAGACACACAGATAGACACACAAGCACATATACATAAACGTTCACTATGCTGAACATGAACTCATTATCTGAAGTCAGAATCCAGCTTTCCTTCTGTTTTCAGATAATCCTTAACAGCTGTGAGAATTAACAGCTATGTCATTGCCAATCATCATGAGAGACAACTGGGGTAATGTCTTCCATTTCTGACTCCATGTGAGTCCTGCCCTTTGGTTTCCAGCTGATGTTCACAGACTCATTTTTCCAAACTGGGAATGAGTCTTGCATTTTGATTTTGCTCAGCCTTCAGCAGGTTAGAAATATCACAAATGACCATTCTAATTTGTATGTTGACCTGCAGGCTAAATAATCACCTTTTATTCTATTGTTATAATTGATGACACTTCATGGGGAGCTGAGTGGAGACAAGGTCTTCTAATTCGGAATCAATGAACTCTCAAACCATAGCTGCGATCTTCCCCATAGATTCTCTCCTTTTACACCATTCTACCTTCTTTTTCTTTTATTCTTAATTCTGTCTTTCTCTTCATGAAAAAGACTGCTGCTAATCAAGTAAATTTTATACACTTCATAACTATTCAATTAATAGATTTTATTGAAATTGAATATTGTACTTTAAAATTATTTTTAAAACTCTAGTAATATGTATTATTAAATGATTATATGCATTTTGAAAATATCTTTTGGCTTTTTCTGTACATTTCATACTGTAGATTTTACCTCTTTCCTGCTATACTTTATAGAGCTATATTTGCAAAACCAATTGTTTAAGCATAACCAGTGAAACCCAGAATCAAATGAACCTTCCCTTGAATAAATTTATCAGAAAGATTTTTTTAACTATAAGACCATCATGTTTTTGATAGTCTTTGACAGTTATTAACAACCAAAGATTTATTTCATTAAGTTAAAAATGTTGAACATTTTACTATTAATTTCATTAAGAATACTTTAATAGTGAATCAAATGATGATATAAAGATGTACGAATTTCTAATTTCTTTATGAATGGTCATCAGGTATAGAAATGTGTTAACAACCTGATTTAAAACTCATTTTAGGATCTACTACTATAAGTTGTTTGTCTCTAAGATGTAATGTTAAGTAAAATCATGTCTAACATGATGTCTAGAGTAATTTGGACCAGTTGTGGTGGTGCATGTCTATAATTTCAGCACTTAGGAGGCTGAGGCAGGAGGATCACAAGTCCAAAGCCTGACTAGGATACATAGTGAGACTCTGTCTCAAAGTAAATACATAAATAAACACACATACACACACATATGTACACGTATATATGTATCAGAGTCATCTGATACCCTTATGAAGATGTATAGGGTAGTATGAAAGGCAGTACTGAATGCTTTGGAACAACTTTGTACCCCATTGACCTGTGGATTTCCTGTCTCACTGGACACCCCTCAGTATTCAAGGGACAAGTGTTCATGGCTCCTTCTGATCTCAGGTTAAGAAGACAACTAATGCCGCTTCTACATATAAGCTCCTCCTAAAATTGAAAATGATGTAAAACAGGTTCTTTGAATTCTTTTCTACGTTTTCTCAATTTCACTACTTGGCTTAGGGGAATGTTAAAAATTTCCTTTCAAAGAAATAAAAAATGGAAATTTTCTCCAGGAGGATCTAAAGTCAAAATACAAGTACAATTAATTTAGTACAACTTAGATCAGGACTGGTAATTATTTGTGAAGTTTTTATTTGAACTTAAAATATAATAATAGTAACTCTACTGTGTTTTTAACATAGTACAAAAAGAGATTAAAATATTATGAATGTTTGTGAATTACGCTCAAGTTAAAAGAGAGTAACTTTAGTAACGTTTGCTTATTTTTTTTAAATCATAAGGAAAAAGCTCATCGTAACCAGAATTATATTATTTTAAATATCTACATGTTTTCAAGTTCATAAGTATGGACTTATGTTGAATATTTTAATTTATTTAAGACTAGTCTCATAATCTTATTGCTGTGATTATATTGCTAATTTCCATTATAGAGATGAGGCATAGAAGAAATTTAATCAGTAATATCTCCATGTAACACATACTTCTTACTTTACTCCAGCAAAAGACATCAATTATAAGCAGATAATAATAGGATAAGTCAGAAATATATCATAAAAAGTGACCCAATCATTGTATGCACATATGAATAAAGGAAATTAAAAAAAAGAAATGTATCATAAAAAAAAAAGCACTTAGGAATCCTAGCTGCAATAAATTAATTATTCTTATGAGAGAATTTTGATCATTCAATGATAATGTCTTAAACTAATTGGGGAACTCTGATGATTCTTTGTCAAGAATGTTAGCGATTACCTGATTAGACAGACTAAGACATACACTAATTTATTATGGTATGATGATTAAAATTTTTAGATCAAATGTTATCAGTAAAATATTATATGCTTTTATTATTTTTTATATTGTGAAAGTAAAACAAAGCAAATTAAGAGTAATGTAATAAGCACTCTTGGATTTAATACAGGTAACATATTCTTAAGCGATTAGAGACATAACAAGCTAATGAGAAATTTGACATCCTAAACCCTGGGTGGAGCTAAGAGGTGAAATTGCACCCAGAGTAACACTTTCATTGGTAAATAGATGTACCTAAAGTCAGATTAGACATAGCAAAATGGAGAATTAGTAAACTGAAAGAGATGAAAAGAAATTTTACAAAATGAAGATCAGAAAGATAAAGGTTTGTAAAACAGATGATGCTAATGAAATTATGTTAATGTGGAATGCCAGGATGAAAAAATAGAGAAAATGGGGCAGAGACAATATTTTTAAATAATAATAGCTGAGAGTTTTCCATAAATCTAGGAGACACCAATCAGTAGATTAAAGAAGCTCACCAAACCTCAAGTAAAGCAAATAAAAAATGGGACAAGTCCATGCATGCACCCTCAACAGAGAGACTGGACAAGTCTACGCACACACCCTCAACATGAAACTGAAGAAAATCAGACAAGAAGAAATTGTGAAATCATACAAATAAAAATACAGAAACCCTATACTAAGAAGAGTTCAACAGATAACATTTCTTCAGCAAAAACACAAACGAAAATATACTGGGATGGTTTCTTTAAAGTGAAGGCACAAAATCAATATAATCTCAGGATTTTGTATATACATATAAAACTAAAATATAATAAATCTCTTTTTGTAAAAAGGAAGGAAAGATAGGAAGTAAAGAGGGAAAGATGAAAGCAAAGTAAGAAAGAAGGATGAGAGGAAGGAGAGAAGGATGCAAGGAAAGAACAAAGGAAGGAAGGGAGGGATGGAAGGAAAAGAGAGGAAGAGAAGAGGAGAGGAAGGAAGAACATCCCCAGAAATTGTGTCTTACCATAAATTCTGAAGGGTATTTATCAAATAGAAGGGAAATGGTCATAGATGGAAGCTCAAAGATGCAAGAAGGAAAGGAAAACAAAGAAAGTGTATTAATAATATAAAGAATAGCACTAAATTGATATTTCAAGGATTTGTGATATTGAGTATTATTTTCATAATCTTGGGTTAGGGAAATATTTCTTAAATAAAATTAAAAAAAAAAAAGAAAACTCACCATAAAAAAAAAAAAACAATTGATAAGTTTGACCACATTATAATTTACCACAACTATTCATCTAAAGATATTGAATCCAAGACAAGAGTCACAAAGCAGGAAAACACACTTGCCACACACAAAACTAACAAAGATTTCATATGCAGAATAAATCAAGATATGCTATGGATGAATAAAAAAAATACTCAATAGAACAATCAACAAAAGATTTGAACAAATGCTACATGAATTAGCTGATCCATAAGCTAACAATACTATACAAAAATTATAATGTATACAATCAAGGAGATGAAATTTCAGTCAAAGTGCTTTAGACTGGCATAAATTTAAAAATATAAAAAAAATACTCAATAGAACAATCAACAAAAGATTTGAACAAATGCTACATGAATTAGCTGATCCATAAGCTAACAATACTATACAAAAATTATAATGTATACAATCAAGGAGATGAAATTTCAGTCAAAGTGCTTTAGACTGGCATAAATTTAAAAATATAGTGATAATAAGTACTGGGAAGAATATGAAGAAACATAGCTCCTAAATACCTTGAACAAGAGTATAATTCATATACAAACTTTCTCCATTAATATAATGAAGTCCTCTCTAGGCCAACCTACTTGTTCAGCCTGGTTTTTAGGGGTCAAGTTAGCTGTATGTTTTGCAGAAGCTTGGAGTTATGACATGGAATAGTCAGAGTGTTCAGATGTGTTGAAAATATATCAAAAGCAGTAATATATAGCGTTTCAAGATACATTTATTATGACCAGGGA